AACTGCATGCATAAGACCTGCAAAAGGTCAAGTCGGGCCAAATCCCAGGATAGGGAGGCAGTCATGAAGCCCATCACTAGGTGGAGAGCCATTGGTAATTGACAGCTGCTTAGAGAGGGAGACTCAGTTTTCTTTAGGATCTGGTCCCTGAGAGCCCACCCGTGCTGCGGTAGATGAACCCACGGGACTACTGGCAGCACTACATGGACTCAGTGAGTTTGTGAAAGAACACTTGGAATGGGGCAATAACCAAGGGATAAAAGGAGTTGGAGGGTAGAGTGGATCCAAACACATGATATACATGTATGAGACTCTCAAAAATAAAATAAAATTGGGGGGGTGGGGGGTGGGGGGATCTAGTTCTAGTCACCACTAGAGGGTAGCATATTAAAATGATGAATTATGAACATAGCTCATTGTGTATGCTTTTTAAAAAAGTTTCAGATGCTTCAAAACTTTATAATGTGTATGTTTTAAGACATGAAATTGTCAAGGCAATAAAAGGAAGTCATTGGTTGCCCTCTCCCCTCTTGCTTTCTCAGTCTTATCAAATACTTGCTAGAACAAGCCAGTGTTCAAAGGCTGAAGAGTGTGGGCTCTGACTCCTGGGAGTCAGGATGGCAGCAGACACTTGTCCACGCAGGGAGAGCAGAGTAGCCGTCCACTCAGGGCCTTCCTCTTTTCACTGGAGTTCCATCCAAGCCCTCAGCCTACCCAATGATGCTGTTCTTCCTCACCCCATCTGCCTGCCACTCCACGGAAGCAATCTGCAAACACTTCCCCACCAGAATTTCTGACCAGTATTCTGTCAATCTGATAGTCAAGATCAACCACCACACTGAGGAAAAGCGAAACAAACTAGGATGCGAGAGAACAACAGGGCAAGCCACATCTGGTCATCTCATGAAAGGAAAGTGGGAAGACAAAAGTAGTTCTGCAAAGCGGCCAGTCTGAACACGTCTTCCTTCCTCCGTCCCTCCTCCCTCTCCTTCTAACATGCAGCTCTTGTTTCTCTAAAGGCACCTGAAGGATACTTTGGGAGGGTTCTGTTCCCCAGAGCAGTTGCCGTCCATGCAGTGAGCTGCTTCTCTTAGAGGGATGCTGACCGCTTTCACTAGAGTCCCTGAGTAGGTCCAGCGTTGTTATCTCTGGGAGGAGCTGGATGCTTTTGCATCTACCTGGCTGGAAGTAATTACCTGAAGGTGATGCAAGAGGGAGTTGCTGTAACTGAGCTGTAACCTGATGTTTCCTCCTTTGCAATGGGGGAAACTGAGTCAGTCCTGTGGTGATATTTAATTGTATGTTAATAAATAAAGTTTGCCTGGAGATCAGAGGTCATAGCCAGCCATAAACAGAAGTCAGACAGTGGTAGCACACACCCTTAATCTGATCACATGGCAGGCAGAGTCTCTGTGTGTTCAAGGACACAGCCAAGCGTGGTGACACACGCCTTTAATCCCAGTACCAACCATAGAGACCTGGAGGTCTGTATAGACAGGCAGTAACGAGGAAGTGAGATGGCTGGGTTTAGAGCCAATGAGAAGGCAGAACAGGAAGGCAATAAAGGCACAGATTAGACAGGAAGAGGTTCTCTTAGGAAACAATGGCAGTGTGGTGAGCTGAGGTTAGTTTGGTGGCTATCACTATTGCTCTAATTTCTACGGCTATTACCCTTGTATTTGGCTCTGTGTTTCTTATTTAATAAGACTGTTTAGAAATTCACCTACACAGTCCCCCCATGGTTTCTGAAATGGTACCTTCTAAGCATCCACCTCATATTGAATGGGGTTTGAGGCTGGAGATCTTCAAAACACAGACTAGCCTTGCTGTCACAGTCACAATTGGATTTGTCAAATTCCTGGCATCAGGTACTGGGAAACCTGTTTACAATGTCTTATTTCTTCCGTAGAATAACACTGTGCATAGTTGTTACTACTGTGCCCATTTTACAGAGCCTGGACATGAGACTTGGTAGAGCAAGCTACCATGAAAATAGGTAGGGAACAGTCTGTCTAAGTTAAGCTTTCTATTGCTGTGAAGAGACACCATGACCACTGAAACTCTTTATGTGGGAAAACATTTAATTGGGGCTGGCTTACAGTTCAGAGGTTTAGTTCCTTATTATGGGAGGAAGCATGGTGCCATAAAGGCAGATGTGGTGCTGCAAAGATAGTCCAGTGTTCTACATCTGGATTGGCAGGCAGCAGGAAGAGAGAGAGACACTGGGCATGGCTTGAGCATTTGAAACCCTGAAGCCCGCCCCAGTGACACACTTCCTCCATCAAGGCCATATGTCCTAATCTAAATAGTGATATTCCCTGTGAGCCTATGGGGGCCATTTTCATTCAAACCTCCACAGTTTCTCAAAAATAGCCCAAGCTCAAGTGTAGGCTCCTGTGCTCTACCACAGTTAATTCACAGAGACTCATTTCCAGTGAGTGCTTGTGTGCTAGGCTTGAGCAGTCTTACATCGCACATCTATTTCCTTTTTAATGTTCTAGTGCTCTAGGAGAGGGGGACAGAGTTGGATCAGTATCCACATCTCAGCTACAGAGACTCTGCAAACTGAGATAAGGCTAATGGCGGGGGTACACTGTGAGGCGTTTACCCAACCACCCTCACAGTTCCCCAGAGTTTTCTTGAGTGCAAGCAGCAGGAAATATTAGAAGAATTTATTGTGGAGAATCTTGTGGGGACAAACAGATAGAAAATAAAGGATAGCCTCGAGAGGGCCTGGAACCTAATCCAACGGGCCCCGACTGTCTCTGCCCCAGGGTTTTTATAGAGACGACAAGGGGTGGAGCAAAAGACCTCCTCCCCCAGCACAGCCAAGTGCAGACCATCTCAGACACCTGCACTCAAGCCCGTGGTCCTAATCATCCTCTATGCGGACCTGCTGGGTAAAGCCATGAGGAACCCAAGAACGGGCTTTCACAGTACACGCCAGACTGAATCAAACTTCCATGTTCTCTTTACTACAGTGAATCAGAGTCCATCCACCAGAGTCTCTGTAGACAGGAAAAATAAGCAGAAACTATATCAAAAGAACCATTCCCCAGACATGTTATTTTTGTTCACATTAGAGACTGGGGTGTCGCTTCAGATCTGCATTAAATTATCTTTCCAGAATATCAAGGCCTTTACCTTACTTCCCAATGATTTAAAACTCCATCCTTACAAGATTGTCCTGAACAACCATGGAAACATGAAAGGGGAATGAAGTCACTGGAGAGAGAGAAGACTGATATTCCTAGCCTGGAGAGATGACCAGGATAAGGGCTGGGCTGTACATTATTGTCACTAGTGGCATCTGAGATGATTCTGCATGATACATGAATACATTCTTTTTCATTTTCTTTCTTTTATTGAATATAGATTTTTTTCCATAAAATATATTCTGGTTTCCTTCACCTTCCTTCCCATTGGAATCCACACTCTTCTCGTCTCTCCTTAGAAAACAAACAGACATCTAAAGAATAATAATAAAACAAAACAAACTGAAACACAGGAATTCCCTAAAACCACAAAACCAGATGCCATACTATATATACACAAAGCTTTTGGGCATTACCAACCAATATCTGATTATATTTAGGGCCCACTCCATGAGGAGGAACCTCAGTGCTGCTCAAGTGGTCAAGACCCAGAGATCTGATAGGCCACAGACATAGGAGAAAACCAACTACTACTGTTCACAGATAGTTTTTGTAAGGGATGTTTGTGGTTGCATATTATTCTCATCAGCAATTAAGGGAAAAATCAAGTGTGTAAAATCTGTAATTTCTGGCATTGTTTCTTAGAGCAAGGCTAATTTTGAAAGAATGAGTCTGATCCAAACAATAGCTTTGAGTGAATAATATTATAATCGAAAGAGATGGAAAAGTGCTGACAACATGTATAAAACATTAGAGTTGGGATTCATACGAATCTCTCACACACTGATAGAGGAATCAGATGATGACAGAGGTTCCAGATTATTTCCTTGTTCAGAAATGGGCTAGCTTTTGACTTGAGGGATGTGGGGGTCCCTGCAAATGCTATGACTGGCAGAGAAGTGAACCATGAAAGGCAATCAGGAAACCCAGTTCAGCATGACTTAGTTAGCTAGGCTGGTTCAAACTTCTGGAGTCTGACCCCAAGTGGTGTATTTTTGACATATTTAAACACAGTACACCTTGGGGAAAAGGATCCCCATGGCAGTTATCACAATAAAGCTTAAAACATGACTACATTGAAACTCCTCTGCAAAGTACCTGTGACCTCTTCCACAAGAATGGGTTCTATTGACTGAGAAACCATGCTCAGGATAAGGGAGAGTCAGGTGAAGCCAGGATCTACAGAATAGCAAAAGTTACCAGGCTATAAACAACATGTACTCCAGCCTTCTGGACAGAACAGGTGTAAATCCTTTTCACTGAAGAGAAAAGCTCATGTGTTTAACATTTCTGGTTGCTCTAATGCTATCTGTGAGCACAAAGACCATGTGTCCTTATGTAGTGTGAATCCTAAATTGTCTTATAATAAAAACCCAGAGCCAGATATCAGGGTGAAAGCTGAAAGATCAGAGAAGCAGAACAAGGCACAGCCACCACCTCTTATCTCACCAGCTCCTTAGCCTGAAAGAGAGCGAGTTCCTGTCTTCTCCCACTTATATTCCTTTCTCTGTCCAGTTATATCACTTCCTGTCTCAACCTTCCTAGTACTGGGATTAAAGGTGTGAGATCCCAAGTGCTGGAATTAAAGGTGTGTGCCACCACTGCCTGGCCTCTATGTTTAATCTAATGGTTTGTTTTGTCTTCTAATCTTCCGGCAAATTTTATTGTTCAAAATATCACCACATCCTTCTATCTCTTCCCATTTCTAACTTTTTTTAAAAAAAATAGTGGCTTTAATAGAGGCTATGGTTGAATGCATTGCCTCCATGACCAGTCTGATTAATATAGGCAAGCATAAGAGAATGATAAGAACAGCTAACAGAGGCCAAGGAAAGGGGAAAGCCATTGAAACCGTGAGAGATTTTTTATTGATCTTTTTGTGTAAATCAGTAGTTTGATGATCAGAAATATGGGGCAAGTCTGACACATGAAAGCAACACATGCCAGGAGATTGTTGAAGAGAAACAAATAATCTATGGTAGCTCTACTGTGCATCCACTTTGGTAAGCAACACATCAGCCATTTCCTTCTTCATCTTTACACCCATCATTCCATTATTAGAGTTTTACAAAGGGTACTTAATCATGCTAAAATCCATATTATTATGTTTGGACTGCTCAGATAGATTTGTCCAATCAAAATATCTCCCATTCAAGTCACTAAATATTTGTACACCATCTTTTATCCAGACAACTGGTCCTAAAGGATAGAAACAATCCTTAGCATGGCAAAACAACATCATAATGTCTTGTATTACAAATGTGCCTTTTGCCCTCCCCTCCAACAACCCTGACAAAAGGCATTTGGATTTTGTGTGGACAGTCTGAGAATCAGCATGCCATACAGTCAGTAACATAACAGCATCATTTTTGAGTCAATAGTATAGTGTCCTTGTTGTTTCCCCAAAGTCTCAGCTTGATGAGTTAGTCTTGGTTTTCCCAAGTCATCGAATTATTCTTCCTATGGAGCATCTCCTCTTGATGGGTTTTCCCTCTGTCTTTAGACGTTTCATTTGTCTGGTGGTCTCTGGCGTTCTGTTCTGGTTGGATACAGTGAAGTGGGAGCCATCTGGGAATTTGTACATTTTCTAGAAAGAAATAAGCATAACCTCACCTCCATGCTAGAACATTGGGCCTTTTCTACTGATTAACACATACTTTAAGTTGTGTTTCCTTTAGGGAAAAATGATTTTGGAAAACAGAAAAAGCATTATCCTTTAAAGTGAAAAAAAACTAATCTTAAAAATTTAAAGTTAGTATAACTAAATATAGCATAGTTCCAGTGAGTGCTTGTGTGCTGGTCTTGAGCAGTCTTACAGGGTGAATCTATTTTCTTTCGAATGTTCTAGTGCTCTAGGAGTGCACAAACAAAAGCTAAGCTGGGGGCAGCTGAGACCTAGGTCATGCTGCAGGTGGCAGGTCTTCGCTCACTGTTCCTGGGAATTCAGGTGTTGTATTCAAACCCAGGCAGTGGAAGGGCTGAGGTGCTGGAGGGCTGTGAGTTCCAGTCAGATTGCTTGGGAGGGTGAGCCCCCAAAATGCATGGCTGGCCTGGGTCAAGTAATCACAGAGTCCCTTTGCCCAGCTCTGCCAAGACCTGCCAAGACTTGCTAAGACATGCCAAGATGTGTCCATCAGAGTTTTATTTTTTCCTCTCTCATTTTTTTTCTTTTTCTCTTTTCTTCTCCTCCTCCTGAGAGGGTCAAGCAATGCACTACTGTACTACAGCTTGTAAAATAGCTGACAGCAATTTTATCTCCCCTTTCGTGGGCCCTCTTTACATTAGTCACTGTGAATGTTAGGTTGCAGAGCTATGAATATTTGTTCCTCTGGATCTTAACAAACATCTCAAAAATCGTATAAAATGCTTTATCTCAAAGCACTGAGAAGCAGCCATATTAATTACATTGTCTTACAGACACTACCCCTTGTGTAAGAGGTTCAAGTTTCCTAATTTCTATTTAAAGACAAATTTCTTACCTTCTCTGAGGACTGAACCTCTCATGTTGGATGCCTGGTGTGGGGGTCCCTGCAAACACTATACTGTCAGGGAAATAAACCATGAGAGGCAAGAAGGAAACCTCTTTCAATATGACTGAGTTAGCTGGGCTGGTTCAAACTATGAAGTCTGAGCCCAAACAGTTTGTCATTGACATATTTAAACACAGTGTACTTTGGATAAAAATTCCCTCGTGACAAATATCACAACGAAGTTTAAGGCATGACTACATTGAAACCCCTTTGCAAAGTACCTGTGACCTCTTCCTTAAGGATGGGTTCTGTTGACTGAGAAACAATGCTCACATAAGAGGGATTCAGGTGAAGCGTGGCTCTACAGAATAGCAAAAATTACCAGGCTATAACCAACATCTACTCCAGGCTTCTAGATGGAACAGGTATAAATCTCTTCCATTGAAGAGAAAATGTTTAACATTCTGGTTTCTCTAGTACTATCTGTAAACATAAGGACCTCATTATCCTCCATGGGTGATCTATTCATACCTATGATCTAGTTAACTTGACTGTACAGTGAAAGCTTTTGACTGAATCAAGAGGAACCTTGATGGTAACTGTGGATCCCTAGAAGGCCTCGGAGATATCACAATGAACCAGAGAATCCACACATTTGAAAGACATTGTTAAACGTTGACCTAAGATACCTTAGCAGTGGATGTAGGACTGCTTTGCAGAGCAGGGAAATTAGGTTGTGATAAACTAAGTACTTCTTGAATTTGAACTAATTGGTGTGAAGGTTCCATTCACACAGAGGTACTTGTGCTCAGAACCTCCCCAATCAAACAATAAAAATATAATGACTTACTTTGTGGTGACAGTTGAGGAAGTCTCTCTCTCTCTCTGTAGCCCAAGCTGCCCTCAAACTTACAAAAATCCTTGTCTCCAACTTCTGGCATGATGGGATTACAGGCATGAGCCACCGCACCTGGTTTATGCCAGCATTTTTATTTATTTATTTATTTGGTTTTTTTCGAGACAGGGTTTCTCTGTCTTGTTTTGGTGTCTGTCCTGGATCTCACTCTGTAGACCAGGCTGGTCTCAAACTCATAGAGATCTGCCTGGCTTTGCCTCCCGAGTACTGGGGTTAAAGGTGTACACCACCACCGCCCGGCTACAGTCAGCATTTTTAATATTGACACTCCATATCCATCCACGCAGATGTTTCCTATTGGTACCGTTAAATATCTACCTTCTTGAGAAATTTCACCTGTTTCACCAGGAAGCCACCATCAGGGGTCGTGAGCAGAAGCTAATGAGTTCCTCTGCTACATAACGCTCTGGTTCTAATAACCTCACATACACAGCTGGTTTTTAAAAAGTAGATTTTAAAGTATGGGTTAAGGATGTAGCTAGGGGAGAGCACTGGATTGACATCTTAAGGCCTGGGTTACATTCTCAGGACAGAAAAGAAAGAAATGGAAAAAGAAGATTTGTAAATATTTTTTTAGATGGATATTGTTTTTGTGACAACAGTGATAACTTTGACTGTTCACTTAACACATAAGCTGTATGCGCGTACCACAAACAGCTTTCAATACTTTGCACATCTCTAGTCTTTCAATGCCACTGAAAATTAAGCCTTAGTAACTTGAGTTGTAGTTACAGATTTATAAAGTGGAAATGTCATGATTCTTATCAAAAGTTTTTGGTTCTAAACTGCCACCTATTTCTACTAGTGTTTAGAGAATCCCAAACAGAAAAAGCCACAAGAGAGAAATTGTAAATATAGGTACACAGAGTTCCATTTATTATGGATAAAGGTCCCTGGTAAAGATAAATTATGATGCAATGAGAGTTTGTCACTGAATTAGGATTGTGAGTAGGTCACCGTATCTTCTGCCAGTAGCTAGGACATTCTCTGCCTATAGGTATCTTGATGAAGTAAGTGGATTCAGAATACCCAAGAATGACACCTGAGTCACACACTTACTGTGACTCCATAGCTGTACCTATAGTAAAGAGATGCCGCTAAACAACAGCAGTGAGGAGGGCGTGTGGGGACATGGCACCCGTGAGACAGGACGGCTCTGGGCATGATTGGCTTTTACTAGCTTCTTATTACTAGCTTTTACAGCCTAGAAGATGGGACATTCACAGTCATCCAAAATCCATTTTAAAGTGGCTATTACGTAGAAGTTACTGGTGAGTATGATAAATGTTAGAGATGCCTCCAATCACATCCTAGACATTGTCCATCTTCCCCGTAATGACTGGCATTGTGGAAGGCAGTGGTCCAAATCCAATTCACCTGCCTGCAGCTGTGGGACCTTAAATAAGTCATGAAAACTAGAGTCCCCAACCAAAATGGTGACAAAGGGCTGAAAGGCTAGAGGGACAATCACTCCTCGTGCTTATTGTCCCTGGGTCTACGTGAAGAATTCTGGGGTTTACAGCAACTCATCAACAGCATGACTTCAAGATGGCAGCAAGTCTCAGGCAAACACTGACGCTCACCGAAGGCTCTCTCTTGTGCAATGTCTAAAGGAGCCACGAGATGGCGCCAGATGGCAAATTCTACTTTTGTTTACATACAGGGAAACCGGAACAAAACAGGACAGAAATGAGTATGCCTCTACAACAAGCAGCAGCCAAGAAATCCTTTCCTTTTTTTTTCCGTAAATATTTTCAACCCGAGTTTAACTTACGAAACATTGTTGGGAGAGGGGGTCCAGAAACCTTGAGAGAGCTGAGAAAAACAGAAGAAGACTAAGGGAAAAGATTGGATGACTGGATTTCTGCATGAATGCCGCATGTAACCAGCAAAGTAGCACAAGTGTGAAGTCACCACAACCGGATTCAGAAATAATCAGTTCGCTTTTACTTCCCACTCACGGGGAGGCTTAATTGTTTGCGTCTTTAATGGTTTCATCCATAAAATGGGGATGGTCATTCCTTATCTGCCACGATGCTTAGGTCAACTTCCTACTCCACAGCCAGTCTGTGAAAGTACCCATCCAAGTGATACCACATTTAGACGTCAACGTCCTCTCCATACGCATGGGCAGTATGACTTAAGCAGAATGAAAGAGACCGTAGAACTCAGCCATGTATCTATCCTGCATTCCACTCACAGCCATCTTTTGACCTACCAGCATCCCAGCTGCCTCCTTCTTGCTCTTCCTCCCTCTGTCCACTGCTCCCAACTGCCTGAATAAGCAAATCCTTGGCTCTTCTGCCTAAATCCCTCATCACCTGCTTTCTGCCTGGAGAATGTAATCCACACTCGATCCGATCCTGTGAGTCACCAGGCCCTCACGATCTGGCCTTAGCCTGCTGGGACAGGAATGCAAGACCTGTAGGTAGAGCCACGATCAGGATTAGGACAAAGTCTGCATGCTATAGAGAGAGACAGAAAGACAAAAGGACCAACCCCGAGGCCCAGATAGCTCGGGCTGGGCCCTCATCTTGATTGCCTGCTTCAAGGTCAAGGCTTTGGACTAATGTGATAAAAATGCAACTCTAGTTGATGAAGTGACCACAGGCAGGCTTCTGTTTCAAGTTCCTAAAAGATGTACATGTCATGTGCCACCTCTCAGCTACTAGAAGTTTATCTTCTGTATTTCCCCCTTTGCCACATCCCAGGTGCTGTAGATAGAGGCTTTAAAAGTTTTCCTACCCAAGACTCATTTTCACTCAAAAATTTTCATGGCTCCAGGTCACAGGAACATGAAATAGGTATACAAATTAAACATTTACTGATAATAAATCATACAGAAATTTGTCTTCAAATGATTCTTTGGAATACATAAAGTTTTGCCATTCATTAAAGATAAAAGCAAAGTTACATACAAATGGGATAGATATGTTAATTTATTTTTATGTAAAGAATTAAGTCTGGGTCCAATATTTGATACTGCAGGATATTAGGCATCTTTAACACTTTTCAAATCACCAGATAGTTTTATTTTGAGTAATATTTTTAAATTTTGTTTTTATATATATGAATATGCATGTATCTCTGTCTGATTGAACAGCATGGGAAATGATTCAGAGGCCAGAAGAGGGCATCAGATCCCATGGAGCTGGGAATTACAGACAGTTGTGTGCCAGGAACTGAACTCAGATCTTCTAAGAAAGCAACAAGCCCTCTTAACTATTGAAACATCTCTCCAGCCCTGATGTTTTGATTTTATAATCATCAATGCTGGCATAGAATGCAATACTGATCCAGGAGAAACGTGAAGTAATAATTTGATGCTATAATAGATTTGCTAATAAACTTACATGTGGCATATTAGGTTACACAAAGTGGGATTTACCTGAAGGAACACTGCCTTCAATACAGCAATATACTGACCAGGCCTGTTGGGAACATTTTATTAAGTTCCACATCTCACTTTAAAATCCAAATCATTCCTTTCTTCCACTTTCTAAGAAATGGTACTTGATTCAACTATGAGGCATTGAACTTTTCCCACCCTTGTGGTGATATTTTATTTGTGGTCTAAAAAATAAAGCTTGTGTGAAGATCAGAGGAAAAAGCTAGCCACTATATTAAACATAGAGGTCAGGCAGTGGTAGCACATGTCCTTAATCCTGACATTCCGGAGGCAGAGATTCATCCAGATCTCTGTGAGTTCAAGGCCACACTGGGAACAGAGCCAGGCATGGTGGCACACACCTTTAATCCCATCATTAACCATGAAGGTCTGGAGCTCTGTACAAACAGACAGGAAGTGATAGAGCTGGGCAGAAAGAGGAAAGTGATATAGCTGGGCGGAGAGAGGAAGTGAGATGGCAGGGACAGAAAGGATATAGGTGTGAGTATACAGGAAGTAGCTCTCTCTTGGCTGAGGATTTCCTAGGATAAGAACTTGTGGCTGTGGCTTATTCTGTCCCTCTGATCTCTCTGCTTTCACCCCAATATCTGGCTCTGGGTTTTTTTTTATTAATAAGACCTTTTAAGATTCATCTTACACACCCTAAATTTTCTCTCCTGATCAAAGCTGTCACATCTTCACACTCCTGCAATACAGGACACATTCATTCAGTTTTGAAATATCCATTCCCAGCTTCCCTCACAAGTTAAAACAACTCTTTGAAGTCAAGGACTGTGTTTTACTTACTGAAGCAACCAGTACATATTTACTAAATAGTAATATAGTGATCCCTGCCATAGGCAAGCCAGGCAGAGCACTTTGGTTGAACTGAACCTGTAGGAACGAAGGAATTTAGAGGGGACTTCTAGTCTCATGGAACTCAAGCCACAGTATGGCAGAGGACATTAATGGCATATGGAAAACAACATAATACAGAAAATAAACAGTTTAGGGACACAATGAGACAGACAAGCCTAATCCACATAGATTTGGAAGCCCATTCCATCTCCTGCTTAATTCACCTTGATTTCAATAATGGGAACATTTAGGTGTAGTCTTGAATTAGTTACCTACCTGTTGCTGTGATAAAATTTCCTGACAAAAGAAACTTTAGGGAAATGTGCTGGTTACTTTTTTTTTTTTTCAGCTTAATACAAGCTAGAGTAATCTGGGAAGAGGAATGTCCATTGGGAAAATGCCTCCATTTGATTGGCAGACACGTCTCTAGAGCATTTTCATGATTGATGTGGGAGGGCCCAGCTCACTGTAGGCAATGTTGCCACTGGGCAGATGGTCCTCAGCTATAAGAAAGTAGACTAAGAAAGCCGCAAGGAACAAGTGATGCATTCCTCCATGGCCTCTGCTTCAGTTCCTACCTCCAAGTTCCTGTCTTGAGTTCTTGCCCTGACTTCCCTTGGTGAGTGATTGTGACCTGATTGTGACCTGAAATGAACCCTTTCTTCCCCATGCTTTTGGTTCTGGTGTTTATGAGAGCAAGAGTGACTCTAACTAAGGAAGAACGGGTGTATTTAGGCTTAAAGTTCCAGAAGGGATCCGGTCTGTCATGACAGGGAAGGCTTGGCAGTGGGAGCATAGGGCAGCCTGGTAACCAGGATGCGGGTGGATTCGTCCACACACAGGAAGCAGAGAGGACAGGAAGTGGGCCAAGTTTTGAAACCCAAAAACCCAGTGATCTACTTCCCCCAGCCAGTCTGCGCCTCCATAAGGTTCCATAACTGTCCCCAGAAGAACCACTAGCTGGGGACCAAATGTACGAACACATAAGCCCATGTGAACATTTCCTCTTCAAACCACACCAAGCTCATTAAGATGTCAATTTTGATCTAAATGTGTCAGAGTGTTAGAGCTACACGTTTGTTCATCTCTAGGCACACCAGGCTTACCTTTTAGTTACCCTGTCAATTTTCCCCTCCGACTAACCTCTAACTTAGTTCCTTACCCAGAAAGCCATCTAAACTACAGGAGTTTTTTGTTTGTTTGTTTTTCCATTTTAGGATCATAGATGGTGGAAACAACAGCCAAAACCACTTACAAGCCAATCCCATCTGGGTCCCTGACTTACCATCAAACCATGCTCTCTCTCTGTGTGTGTGTGTGTGTGTGTGTGTGTGTGTGTGTGTGTGTGTGTGTGTATACGTGTCCCTTACCCAGGTGTATCCATATACACACTCATACACAATCATTTAGCTTTTGTCCTCTGAAAAGCGGGAATAAACATTTTTGATTTAGTATGTGAAAGCAAAATTTAAATTACCCAAGAAAGTCTAGTTGCTGAATTTGGGGTACAGGAAAGATAACCCAACAGTGTGTCTTTCCAAACACTAATTCAACAAATACCAAGAAATGACTTTCTGAAAATAAGAAAGAGATAAAAGGTGAAATAAAAGGAGACTCTAGAATGTCCCTAAGCAAAGACAAAGACCCTATGCTAATAAACTATCCCAAAATAAAAGGATGAAATATTTCTAGAATATTCTAGAACACAGTGGGATACCTGCTTTCACTAAAAATTAAGAATCTATTCATCAGTATTTTTATTTGTAATTGATGCCATGATATAAACTTATATTTACTTTTCAAAAAGGAGATAGGAAGTCTTCAGAGACAAGCACTGTGAGATAAACATAAAACTGGAAAACAATGAGAACAAATGTGGAGGAAGGACCATTGCTTCTGGCTGGACAGCCCCTGTCTCTGTGCATGCTACAGGAGGCTGTGCCAGTTAGCAGCCTCGGAGTCTTACGAAGGATACTAGCTAGCTGGCAAATGTCCAGGAAGACTGAAAAATAAGGGTTGGGAAACAGGAGAAACGGGGTCCAGAATCTCTGATGTAGCTGGTTTGTGGCCACCACCAAACATGAGGTGCCACAGGCTCACGGCACCCTATGTCCCTCTGGAGTGTTCACGTGAAAACTTTAAGGCCCAGAGACATCAAATGCCATCATGAGATCACTACACACAGCAGCTGTGCCACCAATATTAAGTAGGTCAGTTAATAGGCAGAGTTTCCATATTAGAAACACACCAGAATGACCTCAGTGACCATGGCAAAAGCCACTAGAGCTCATCTTAAGTTCTTTAGTACTGTCTTCAAATTCTTGTCCTGATTTGTGCGTAGAAGGGTGCAGTTCCCTGCCACCAGGCAGTTGAGAAGGGCAGTGAGACAAGTTCTATCCCACAAATGGGCCAGCGAGACCTGTGTCCTTTTCAGACTCAAACAGGAGAACCTCTGTGTAATGATGGAGTTTCTTCCTTTTCTGTGAGGAATATGGACCGGGTTAACGGAGGTGGTGGAAACACAAGAGCTGAGCCCCTGGATGCAGCAACAGACTGGGAGAATGCTGATTTACAGCAGATACTGAGTTATCAAAAATCATGTGTATGTAAGCAGATATACACGTGGGCTGGGGAGATGGCTCACTGGTAAAGTTCTTGCCAAAAAAATATGAGGATCTGAGTTCAGGTACCCAGTTTCCACAGAAAAAAACAGCCAAGGTCAGTCCCTAACTCTATCATCTCAGCCCTGAGGAGGTGGGGAGTGGCAGATCCCCAGAGCACACTGACCTGTAGATGAAATTCTAAACGGTCTTATTAAATAAGAAACACAGAGCCAGATGCAGAGTTAAAAGCCCAGAGATCAGAAGCAGTAGCCAAGAGCTAAGACCACCTTATCTTACCACTCGCTGCCGTCCTTCCCCTGAGAGAGAGACCTTCTTCCTGTGTCCTGTCTTTTTATTGCCTTTCTGTTCTGCCTTCTTATTGGCTCTAAACCCAACCACATGATTTCTTCATCATTGCCTGTCTATACAGACCTCCAGGTCTCTATGGTTGGTACTGGGATTAAAAGTTCAGGTCACCTTGCTTTGGATGTGTCCTTGACCACAGAGACTCTGCCTGCCATGTGATCGGATTAAGGGCATGTGCTACCACGGCCTGACTCCTGATTATGGCTCGCTGTGACTTCTGATCTCCAGGCAACTTTATTAACATACCAATAAAATCACATTCCAGCACAAATAAAATATCACCATATTTGCCCTTCTATTCTAATAAAAAGAAAAAAAAAGTTATAACTAATATGAGAAAAACTATATACAATAAGTACAATAACTATATACAATATATACAAGCAATAAATAGCTGCCTAGTTGAGCTCAGTTGATGAGCTCTAAACTTAGTGAGAGACTCTATTACAAAAAAAAGTGCAAGGATTGAGGGGAAGGCTCAGAGGACACAAGCCACAGACCTGAATTTGGAGCCTCAGCACTCACGTAAAAGCTGGGTGTTCCTGTGGGTGTCAGCAACCTCAGCACTAGGGAGAGGGGGCCAGGGATTGCCATCTGGTCTAGTGAGTCAGTGAAGAGACCCTGTCTCAAAATTAAAAAGATAAAATGAAAAACAAATAAGGTGGAAAGTCACAAGGGAAGGCAGCTCAACATTAGCTCCTTACTGACACACGGATGCACTCATCCTCCACACGTGTGCACAAGTATATGCCACATGCACAGATAAGCTGGAGAACAATAGGAGACACCCAGTATCAACTGCTGGCTGCCATGTGTACCTGTACACACACACACACACACACACACACACACACACACACACACACACACACTAAATTCCTGTTGAATAGCCAAGATATTGGTGGTTTAACTTGGCTGGCTCGTGAGTCTAGCTCTCTCTGCCCTGTCACAAGCACAACACCATTTTCTTTTGTTTACAGAGCTTCAGCTCAACATAAAAAGAACGTCACTGGTTGTTACTGGTCTCCTTTAAGCCACAGTTTTACACCCTGCTGCCCCGCCCAGTTTATCCAGTATATCAAGGCCAAAGGAATCTTTTTAAAAGATGAAAATTATTCTTAAAATTGGAAATCCTGTTTAACCAAATGTAAGGTGTAACACCAGTTCTTCATTTCTTCTGGATAAATGCTCCTAAATACTTGTGTTGTTAGTCCACTCTTGGGCACAGTCATTCATCAGCTTCATGTCTAAGTCTGTGAATCACCTAGGAATTTGCAGGCACTGTATCAGGAGTGGATCTCTTTCATCCAAGGCCAAGCTCATTGCTATTCTAGACAGAATTACATGTTGCTTTAAGTCTTCTCAGAAAAGGCAGGGGTCCTGACACCTGACCTGTCATTAGACGTGGAGTTCATATTAAAAAGGCACACTCTGCTCTGTGCTTTGCAAGAAATTCCTGAATGCAGTCCCTCTGGTGTTAGTGTATTTGATGTGCTTAACATCGAGTTTTCCTGTGCTGTCACTGCATAGCAGCACAACTGTTCACTGACCATTACCAGCCTGGTGGCCCCATGCCAACCCTTCGAGAGATACTTGATTTAATTAGCCTTGCATCTCTGGGTGTTACAAATTCTTACACTTAGTTTACAGACAAGGAGACCAAGGCCCCACGGCAAATCTCCACAGTGTTAATGCCAGGATTACAACCTGGTTCTGCTGACTGAAGAGCTCATGAGTTTGGTCAGAGTTCTGCTCACTTCTCACTAAGTAGAGACCTAGGACAGTCACAAACACGGTGCAAAAGCATTCTTCACCCCAACCAGATATACTTACGTCCTTGCTGTTCTGCTTAAAGGTCACAAAAGGTACAGTACAGAAGGTAACACGGTTTTCCTGTTCTTTGTGGGGAATCCTCTCAGCCCCTTTCTTGTTTTCTGTGCTAATGAGCTGTATTGTTCACTCTCCGCTCCCAGTGCTGATGATGTAACCAAGACCATGTACACACTGGACAAGGGCTGCACCACTGAGCTACAGCCAGCCTGGTGCACACTTTTGCTGCAAGAACCTTACAGATCAGACTGCTGTTTCCTAGGTGCACTAGAGTCTTCTCTATAATAATTTTCGCTAGTACTAAATATAAGTACACAGCATAGCTGCTCAACCCTAAAGCCTTGTTTTCTTCTCTAAATTAAACCCTTTCAAATCCCCCTACAGTCTCTCCCTGAGGGAGATCACGTGACCTTCTGTCTTTAGACACCATCTATATTCTTGAATGCCCAAATTGCATCCTAAGTCTAACCCTCTCTTGAGAATACTATACTTATTAACTAAATACTTGTTTCCTAGAATGCTTACCATTGCTGTGGTAAACATCAAGACCAAAGGCTACTTGGAGAGGAAAGTGTTTTATTTCATCTTACAGCTTACAGTCCACCATGCAAGGCAGGAGCCCAAGGCAGGAGCCCAGAGACAGGATTTGAAGCAGAGGCCATGGAGAGGCTCTGTGAGTGTTTGATATGGGCAATCTGGATTAAATCTCTGCTCTGGGGAGGAAGTGATTCTACTGGTGTGAAGAAGAAAAATGTGTGGTGCCTTTTATAAACAGCAAAACCCTCCATGAAGATGTCCCAGAAGGGATGGGTCCTGCTCCTTTCTTCCTGCTGTTCAGTCACCCCTCTGCCCCCTACTGGGAGAGCCTACTAGTGTCTTCGACAAAGTCTCAGTATCCAGGACAGACAGATGGGACTCCAAACTGAGATGAAAAGAAAGAACCTCCAGCTCGCTCCTGCAGATCCAGAAAGCCCCATTCCTGTTTCTTTCTCCAAACCCTGCCCACTCAGAGTCTCTGAACAAAGGCAAAGAGCCAAAATGCCCAGTTCCACATTCTTGGCGGCTAAAGCAGCTTCCTCCCCTGAAGTTGCCAGCTGCCCAAGTCCCCACCTAAAGCAGTCAGTTTTTGGACCATAATTGAGCACAAACCCAGTTTGTGGGGGACATGTCATCATCCCTTGCCTACAACCTATATAATCTCCCTGCTTTAGTTCAGGCGTGTGGCTTCTCTGGCCTTGATCTCTGGGACTGGAGAACCAGCCTAGGAGTCACTGTGCTTAAATAAATCTGTTGTTATATTTTTTCAATTCAGCATGATCTGGCTTACTGCACTGGTGGAGAAACCTATTATGGGTTATGAAGCAGAAAATCTATTAAAAACCTAGTAATCAGTCTACAATTGTTGGCCTCTTAATAGTCAAATTCTCTCTGGTTCTTTGTGACTAATTACAATTCCAGCATAAAAGCTCCCAGAACCTCCCCCACCAAACTTTCCCATTCTTTTCTACAATAAACTTGAACCCGGAGCTCTGTCCCTTCTAACCTGACTGTAGCAGTGTCTGTCTTACTGGACTTCTTAAATTTATACTTGGTCTCTTCCAAAGTAATCATTCATTTAAGCATGTAGGCTGAGCATATGCTAAGTACAAGGCACTGGGCTGACACATGGATTATGATAGTGAGTGAGACCCATTCCAAACAGAGCAAAAGACAGATGGCTATTCCATGTGAAACTGAGCATAAGCTGAAGACTGCTTGCCTGGCCACACTCAGGGTGCCCTCTCCTGTCCTCTGTACTGTGGAAACTCTGAACTTGTTTCCTTTTCTTGGATACATCACAATCTTTTTTTGCTTAGAACTTTTCTGCACTCTGTTTCCCTCTCGAAAATATCTTTAATCATTACAGCCCATCTCCATTTTGCTCTTCCAGTCTCTGCTAAGACATGAACTTCACTTCAGCTCCCAAGGACGCTGTGCAGTATGCCACTCTGTGCCAGTTACTGGCCTCGCTGTGTTCTACCTTAGTGCTGCTTCCACAATACCATTCTTGTACGTGGGGAACATAATTAAGCACAATATTGGTTATTTGAACAGGGTGCTGCCACAGTGCAATAGTCAGACCAAAGTTGAGACAGCTATTGATCATCTAACATGTGGGTGGCATGTACAGCATGGGCATACTGCTCAAAGGAGGGCTCATGTCCCACCTGCTACGGTAAGCACAACAGAAGATCTCATCATACTCCACAGAATGGCACATGACTTGTGAACTGTGGAGTTCTTCAATATTTTCATATCACTGTTGACCATCAATAACTGAACTCACAGAAAGCAAATTGCACACAAGAGAAGATGACAGAATGCACACACACACACACACACACACACACACACACACACACACACCCTTGGTCTCTATTACCTCTTTTTTTATGGTTCCTTTGGAGAACTTAGAAAAGGAGGTAATTTTGGTGAACTGGCTGTCTATATGTTACATCACTTTCTCCCCTGTTGAAGATAAAACCCACAAAGTCAGGACCCTGACTCCATTCCCACACTCAGCACAGTGCCTTTTGTATGTAGATATTTGCAGAATGAATGAATCAATTATTGTAAAGGCTCCAAGAAGTAAGTGCAGCATTGCTTACCCTAGCAATACCAAAACTTATCTAGCCACAGAATCATACTTCAACATAATATTTTCAGTTCTACAAAAAATCCTCGCTTTCTGTCAAATATCATGTGCATGTCTATCATTCCAGCACTCAGCAGGGGTGAGGGGCTGAGACAGGAGGATCCCTAGTTCAAAGTCAAAGAGCTACACATTTAAGAAACCAGTCTAGGCTATATAGTGAGTCTCTGTCTGATAAAACCAAATCTGAGACTAAATCAAATAAAAAACTCATGTTCTGTGAACATGTATGGGGGAACAGTTATTGAGTTGAGAACCTCTGGCCCGTCCCATCATCCCATCATCCTTCCAAGTAGAATGTACATAGAACCTAGTTGTACTTTGTTTTTTAATAGCAAAAAGCAAAGAATTTATAGGCACGTCCAAGACCCCAGGAGGTGTTCTAGAATACAGGCAAAAGAAAAGTTACAAAACCATAGGAGTCTAGTCCCAATGACCTATAAAATGTAAATAATAGTCAGTCCCGTCATTTCAGGACTGTGGAAGGAATATGACACAGTAAGGCAGGAGGAGCACCTGATACACCTGTAGCATATGTCCTCACTTGCTGTTGGCTCCCTGCACCTCACCTACCCCTTGGGCACATCTCAGTGCAGAGAGTGCTTGTAGTTTTTGGAGTGCTGCCCTGGCATGGGCTGTATTAACTACTGGAGGATAGAGTTTTCAACTAATGTATCACTTGTTATTTTTCACTTCTAAAATTCTCTCATCCCTCCAGCAAATCCTCAACATGGCCCTGTCTTTGGAAAATATAAAACCCAATTGTTTAAACATAATCAACCCAGAGGAAATAACTAGAGAAAAACCAAGTGCTGGTAGGCAATGCTAGTTTCAATAAAGGAGACCCAGTGTTGAAGTATCTGAGATTTCTCTCTAAAAAATAGTATGCAGCCTCAAGTACCGAGTAATCTAGCAAATGCTTTGTAATAGAGTTTGGGGAACCCACCAAAAATTAAATGAAATTCTTCTCAACTATGTGTTCCTCTAAGACCACAGCACACTTAAAGGAATTTGTCCATGTCAACCTTCTACTAAAGATCCAAAGTACTTTCTGAAATCTGACTTCTTAGCAGAAGGCTTTCTTACAGACCCTGGGAAGCTCAAATCACAGGCTAATTTTTCTTCTTCTCCCTCAAATTGAAAACAGCTTGAGATCTCTAAAATCCTTGTCATCTACCAAGGCAAATGGAAAATAGAACAACCATATACCAAAATAACAGCAGAATTAGCCCATGGAGCGGTAGTGAGAATCTTATTTCCACACAGAGCTGTGACCTTGAGTCTCTCTATTCTATGACTGTGGCATCTTGACCTGAAGTAAAAGGCTTTTTAGTACCCATCTTACCAGCCCAATTAAAAGAAATCTAATTAAGGTAATAGAATCCAGAGGAGTTGGTGAAAGAGGTGTTTGCTCAAATACACTAGGAAGATCAAGAGAAGAGGTTATAGGAAGCCAGAAGAAAAAAGCAAGAAGAGAGGAGGGAGGGAGGGAGGAAAGGAGAGAAGGAGGGGAAAAGCAGGGATAAGAATTTATTTACCCCATGTGCACAGGAAGATATCAAATGAGAAGGTAGATTATCAAGAGTGACACTCTAAAAGCAATAGGCAATTACATTAATGGCTCTAACAATATGTTCTGTGGAAGTTTATAATCTGTTGAGAAGACTATGGAGGCTGAGAACATGGACAACACACATCCTACCCCTCAGGTCACATTGTAATTGTGGTCATTTTAATTCTGTTTCAGAAGAATAGGCTCCTCTGCCTTAAAAGGGGGGAAAAATCACAGCATGAAGTGGTTTCTGAGAAGTTTCCTGGTTTTAAGTAGAAATCTGTGAGACTGGAAAGAATTCTGATGTAGCCAAGCCAAGCCTAAGAGACTGGGAGAAGTTGTGATATAAGCCACACTCTAAGGTTCTGATGCAAACGAAGCCACACCCTAAGGCTTCCCAAAGGCGTTCCCACTGCGGAGCAGGTTTCTGTCTGTGGGAGGAGTCTACTCACTGACGTTAATTTCTTGGTGACCTATGAACTGAACTACAGCTTTTTCACTCTTTGGGGGCCTGCCACCCAGCTCCCAAATAAGCTTTTAGTATTAGAGAGGCAATATTAATAGAGAACATTCTCAAAGTGACTTACAAACAAAATATAAACAAACTCTTAATTTGTTTGCAGATGATTCATTCCTAATATTCAACTTTTGGTAGGAATATATGCAGGCCTTTGGGGACCCACAAAATGATAACGCCATTGTCAGCAATAGACACATATGGTCAGAAGAGCCACTGCTAAAACACACTAAGAGGTTCAAAGGAAACAATGTATGGAAGACTGAAGGAAGTGGCAGAAAAGAAAGAAGCAGAGAGAGATGGAAGGCAGAAAGGAAGGGAAGGGCAGGGAGAGAGACGAACCTTTTCCTGCTTTTGCTGA